TATTGAATCAACATTAGTATTTCTTGGTTATTTTCCATTTAATAAGGTACAATTTTATTGCAATTAATTAATAGTAAGGGAAGCTAGGATAGCAAGATACATTGGTAAGTTTTTTGAGTCCAGTCCTAAACAAAATTATTCTCTCAAAACAGGAACTTAACGGATGGCAATATGTATATGTTTGGGGTTGATGTTAATAAGAATGATGTCCCAGACATTTATGGGCAATGTTTCTTTTGCACACAGCCTGGAGGTCATTCATAACGATGCCTCCATTTTTAAAGTTTATATTTCCTGACAAATATTTCAAATAGCTTATCTACAAATCTCATAAAAACTCTGAAAAACTGGGACACAAATGAGGTGAAAACTACTAATTTGCAGATTCGAAGTTTGAATTCTACTCCCTTTTGTTCTAAATCCTATACCCCTTTCCTAATGCCAGTGGTACTGTACTGGGTATGCACTGAAATCATCTAGAGAGATTTAAAGTAAATATTAATGTCCAGTTTTGACCCTCAGGGATTCTGAGTTGACTGGTCTTGGGTGGAGACCAATCACCATTTTTTTTTTTTAAGTTCTCTAGGTGTTCTGCATAAAATGTCAAGTATACACCATGTTTTAAAGGAAAATCCATTTTAAATTTCTATGCTATCTGAGAAAGACTTGCTAAATGACAAGGTCACTTTATAAAAGGCAATTTTTATTTTCAGAGCTTTCGTTTCTTTGTTTGACAGACGTTGTTCTTGAGAGTAGTTTTTGGTTAACAGCAAAATTGAGTGGAAGACACAGAGATTTCCCACATAACACACCACCCCCGACCTGTGCACAGCTCCCCCAGCTATCAGCACCTCACACCAGAGTGGGGTGCGTGTTACAGCAGATGCACTTACATTGACTTACCGTCGTCATCACCCAGAGCCCAGCATTCACATGAGAGCTCACTTTTGGTGTTGCACAGTCTGTGGGCTTGGACAGATGTGTAATGACAGGGATCCACCATGATAGTATCACACTGAGTAGTTCCCTGCCCTAAAAATCTCCCGTGCTCCACCCATTCATGTCTTCCTGCATCCAACCCCTGACACACATTGATCTTTTGTCTCCATAGTTTTACCTTTACTAGAATGTCACGCAGTGGGACTCATGTGGCACCTAGCCTTTCAGATTGGCTTCTTTCACTTAGTAATACGCGTTTAAGTTTCCGCCATGATTTTGCATGGCTGTGGTTCTCATTTCTTTTTACTACTGAACAATATTCCATTGTCTGTATGTGCCACAGTTTATTACCCATTTACCTACTGAGGACATCTGGGTTGCTTCCACGTTTTGCAGTTATGAATAAAGCTGCTATAAACATCTGTGTGCAAGGTTTTTCTGCAGACGTAAGTTTTTAACACATTTGAGTAAATACCGAAGGTTGAGATTGATAGAGTGAATGGTAAGAGTATTTTTAATTTTGTAAGAAACCAACAGAGTGTCTTCAAAGAAGGCTGCAGCATTTTGCATTTGCACCAGCAATGAGTGAGAGTTCCTGTTGCCCCACATTGTCGCCAGCATCTGGTGCTGTCAGTGTCTGGATTTTGGCCATTGTCATAGATGGGCAGTAGTGTCTCATTATTGCTTTGATTTGCAATACTCTGATGAGACATGATGTGGAGTATCTTTTCATATGCTCGGTTGCCATCCGTTTGTCTTTTTTCATGAGGTGTCTGTTCAGTCCTTTTGCCCATTTTTAACCAGGTTGTTAATTTCCATTTTTTTAAAGAGTTCTTTATATAGTGTAGATACCAGTTCTTTATCCCATATGTCTTTTGCAGATTGTTTTTTCCTAGTCTGTGGCTGTTCTTTTCATTTTCTTGATAGTGTCTTTTGCAGAGCTGAGGACTCTAATTTTAATGAAGTTTAACATATCAGTTCTTTTTAAAATGCATCTTGCCTCTGTTTTTGTGTCTAAAATGTCATCACCAAACCCAAGGGCACCACAATTTTCTCCTGTGTTATCTTCTAGGAGTTTATGTTTTTTCACTTTACATGTGGGTGTATGATACATAAAGGATTAATGTTTCTGAAGGGCATAAGGTCTGTGTCTGGATTATTTTTTAGAATGTAGATACTCAGTTTTTCCAGCACCATTTGTTGAAAAGATTATCTTTACTCTGTTGGGTTGTGTTTGCTCTTCTGCTCAAGATTCGTTGACTATATTTATGTGGGTTTATTTCTGGCTCTCTATTCTGTTCCATTGACCCATTTGTCTACTTTTTTGCCAATAACATACTGCCTTCTGACATCCATTTTATTTCGCTAAAACAGAATATGATGTATTGGACACCTTTTTTCCAAATTTATTTAATATATTTTAATAATTTGTAAAATGAATTAAAATAACATCTCCCAGTTTTCTACAAAATCAGTCTTGTTGATTGTGAATATTTATAGTGACCTATTTGAATTTAGGTCCATGTCCTGACTGACATGGGTACTTTCATTACATTTAAAGCTAAATAAAAATTGTTTTACCTGAAAATAATTCAGCTCTTTGGGTATCACAGATACACATCTCAGTGGAATTTTATTTTAAGCAGTGATGTGTTACCCTTAGATTTCTTACAGGATTTCTCACACATGTGCCTGTTACTTCACAGGTTGACAAAATGAACAAGAACCTTCCGTCTATCACTGTCAAGTTGAGGTGTTTGTGAATACATCCAGAACAGAATGCCTTCGCGGCATAAACAGAAACTACTTTTTATGTCCACATGAGCCGCATTTCTGTGTTAAGGCCACACATAGCTGGGTTCAGAAACTAGACACACTCAAGTGTTTTCCTCTGCATTGCAAGCTGGTCTCTAGAATGTCCATGCAAGTCGTTGCTATCTGCCAGAAAAGGGATTGACATTACATAACCCTGAAATAGAGAGCCGACTATGTGAAAATTATGAGGAAAAGAAACACAATGGAGGTTTTAAGTCCTTGGTTGGGGATAAAGGAAGGGAGAAGCAGAGAGTTTCAAAAAGACGGGAGCCAGCAAAGGGCCCTGCATTCCATTAGGGGAGCATGCGAGATGGTGAGCCCCATGGGCACAGCGAGGCAGAGACGTTGTTGGTACAGGGAGGAACTGGGCACTCGCAACCCCTCACTGAGTGTCCTGGAGCGTGGACTCTGAATGCGGCATCAGGCTTGTGATCACTGGCGTGAGACTGGGAAGTGATAGCTCCTGCCCTTAGC